TGTAGGAAGGTGCATTCCCACCAATGTTGGAGATAAAGAGGGTAATGAGCTCTGGGGGGACGTAGTCAAACACAGGGCAGTGAACGCTGACCTTCTCCAGAATGTCCCCTGAAAGGCAATCACACGTGCTAAAGATAAAACCGAGGTCCTGCTCTAATAACTAAGCGCACACAGATTCTAGGCTCAATAATGCAGGCATACTTGCTACCCCAAGAAAGGGAAGCTGCAGCAAAGTACAAACCAGAAGAGCTGACTTCACGTCACGGCACTCCTGCTTCAAACTCTCCAATGCCTTTCCATAGCCCTAGGAATAATTCCATCTTGGGAGAGTCGCCCTCAAGATCTGGCCCCTCCCCACTGTGCTACACTAATTATAATTTATCCCACTCTCCCTCGTGCTCATTACTCTCCAGCCATATGGCCATCTTGTTCCAACTGGCTAAGCCTGGACCTAACTCAGGCCTTTTGCACCAACGCCTGGGGGGAGACTCTCCTTGATCTTTACATGGTGGGGCTCTATTCATTCTGCACTCAGCTGAAATGTCCTCTCATTTAGACCCTTCCCCCACTAACGTAGTCTCCTACCACTTTCCATCCCATCATCCTTATTTGTTTTCTTCCCAAAACATCCCATGACCTGACATATTCGTGTCTGTCCTCTGCAACAGAGCATAAGCTCCGTGGGAGCAGGGCCTGTGTTGTTCATTGTTACATCCTTAGTACCTAGAATAGTGCTGTATACATAGTGGGTACTCAAAAGATACAAAGAATCCTTGAAAAAATGCATGTGTGAATAAATGGATGAAGTTATTCAACTTCTAAGAATTAACACCCCAAGTATGGTGCCTCCCAGAGGGCGTTTAAGGCCATCTTATGTTGATGAGGTGGCAGGCTCACTGAGCACAGCTGCTGCCTTCAGAAGTCAGAGAAAAGGACCCCAACACATGAAGGTATCCAGGTTACAGGCAAGTTTTATATTAGGAACATTTCAGAGCATGCTTCCTTTGGCAGCCATGTCACCAAAATGACTCCCTACAGCAAATGAGAATGAGTACATTTTCCCACTGGGCTGCTGCGTGTGTGTCAAGCAATGTGCAAAGCCAGACCCCATCAATGCTGAATGGTCCAACCCGCCATAGCCCCAGTACTCAGTGAAATATATTAGTCTCAGAACAAAATGAACATGGACTAGATGAGGTGCCCCCACACTCTAAGATGCTAAAGAGAAGTCCCCACGAGAATTACGATAAAAACCACAGCCGGGCAGCATTCAATCCCCACTGACTACTAAAACAAAAGCAAAGAGACCAAAACACGTACACGTGCACATGCACGTGCACACACCCACACACACACACACACACAACACACCCTTCTGTACCTTCTGTGAAAGGCAGGACTTCTTCAGGAGCCACAAACTTGTGAAATGAATCTTCTTCATTGGGGAACTAGACAAGAAAAAAATTAAAAAAAAAAAAAAGTGAGAGAGACGCAGCAAATTCCAGTTTTAAGTATACACCCAAGGGAAATAAAAAAGGTATGTCCACGCAGAAACTGGTACACCAGTGCTTACAGCAGCAGCATTCACAAAAGCCAAAGGGCTGAACAGTCCAACTGCCCACCAACAGGTGAATGGATAAATAAATTGTGGTAGGTCCCTGCAACAGAGTATTATTCAGCCACAGAAAGAAACCAAGTGCTGTGCTACAGCTAGGAACCTTGACAACATGCTAAGTGAAAGAAGTCAGAAACAAAAGGCACATATTATGATTCCTTTTATATGAAATATCCCAAACAGGCAAAGCCACAGAGACAGAAAGCAGATTAGCGATTCCTAGGAGGTGGGCAGAGGGGGCAATAGGGAGTGATTACATAATGGGTACGGGGTTTTTTCTAGGATGATGAAGGTTTGAAACCAGAGAGTGGTAGTTGCACAATGCTGTGAATGTAATAAATGCCCCTGAACTGTACATTTAAAATGGTTAATTGTATGTTATGTGACTTTCACCTCAACTTAAAAAAGGGAACTGCAAATAGGTTGGTATTTCAAAGCAAACAGCTTCTATTGCTAACGAAGTGGCTCTTCACTTTGTAATACTGCTTGTATTAGGCTATAGGGGACAGTCCCTCCAACGATGAAAAATAAAACCGATTCTGTGTTCTGGGTTTCACCTTGTTCGGCATTTTCAGAAATGATCAGCGTGATGGGCAATGGTGGCAATATCAACAAAGGGCCTTCCCCAGCTATGTACTATCCTGACCTTACAATTTTGATTTCTCAAAACTGACAAGTTATAACTATCAATTTTTTTTTTTTCCTGGTTCAAGACTTCTGTGGCTTTTTCTGGCCTCTATGGGGTCTAATCCATTTAGTGAACGCAGATAAAGAGAAGCCCCAGAGTGAGGAGGCTGAAGGCCCAGAGGTCAAGCCTACTCCTTGGCTTCCTTCTCTCTGTTGGCTACAGACAGACATACCTGTGGGGAAAGCTTGAACATGGGAGCACACACGATGAGCGGCGTGGAGTGGTGTTTTGCGGCCAGTGCTAGAGTATGAGTTCCTGTCACAGCTCTCAGGGCACCGTTGGCCAGGATGGTCTTTGTGCCAATGATCACCTTTGGAACAGGAAGCAAAATGTGAGTCATCCTAGGGATGGAGCCTTAAATGGGCCATTGGGCACCACAGGCTAAATGCTCAGGCCTCAGTCTCGACATTGTGAGCGTCACATGCTAGTCAGGGAAAAGGGATTCTATGGTGAGGACCATGAGTTCTAGCTCAAGAGTGGCTTCCCAAAGAAAGAATGAATATTGTATGTGACAGGAAGCTTCACTATCTCCTGCTCTTAGCCCTGCCTTTTCTGGAAGCTATTTGCCACACCTCCTGAGAAAGCTAAGAGCCTTTCTATTCACCATCCATCACTGTCAAGCTCTCTGAGCAGAAGGCAGGGACCCTCTACCCAAGCCCTAGCAGCTGCCACACTTAGCCTTATTTCATTCTCTTCAATGCTTTCACCAAAAAGCAGCTACCCTGGGGCGCCTGGCTGGCCCAGTCAGTACAGCATGGACTCTTGATCTCAAGAGTTGTGAGTCCGAGCCCCATGTTGGGTGTAGAGACTGCTTAAAAATAAAATCTTTAAAACAAAAACAAAAAGAAGCTACTCTAAGTGAGGAACAATGATATAGATAAAGGGAAAAGAAATCAGGTTAATATATTAAAAAGGCCCAGCATGTAGTTTTAAAAGGCGCTAGAACTTCTCTTCTCATGTATATTATAGGAGGGAAAAAAAAAAATGAGTATTTTAGAAGTATAATCTTCATGAATTCAGTATAACTCCAAATACACCCACCTTGTTGACTCTTGACATAACAGCAAAAATGGCAGCATCAGTCATGACAGTTGTCTCAATACCTGCTTTGGATAAATTGACTGCCATTTCATGACCCTACAATAGGAGAAAAAGGCCTGATGTTAGGAGAGAAGGTGAGACAGGGTGGAAGGCATCTCCAGTGGAACTGGATCTGGAGAATTCTGTGATACTGGGCACAGCCAACACACACCTGCCAACAGGTAATTCCTTTTTCTACTCATGGTAGGTATTCTCTGGTACACTGCAGAGAAGCCCAGGAGAAGCCAATAAATGCTGAATTTTCCACAGGAGCACTAGCGCAGCCAGAAAACTGGAAATACTGCTTGCTTGTGTAATTAGGGAGCGCTGACAGCACAGCTCCTGGCTCATTCTTTTATGACCTCCTGCATCCTTACATATTTCCTTTCTAGAGACCTATTATTTACGTAGGGATTGAGTGAGGTCAGAGCAAGCATCAGTCATCCCCAAGGTAATTTACCCTATTTTGATTCCTAAAAGAACCAATATATTTCTTTTCTTGGACCCAGCATTTCCTCTAACTTTCCTAAACCAATGTTTAAGAATGTTGACAGGATGAGGGCACCTGGGTGGCTCAGTCGTTAAGTGTCTGCCTTTGGCTCAGGTCATGATCCCAGGGTCCCAGGATCGAGCCCTACGTCGGGCTCTCTGCTCAGCAGGGAGTCTGCTTCTCCCTCTGCCCCTCCCTCTGCTTGTACGTGCTCTCTCTCTCTCTGTCAAATAAATAAATAAATAAAATCTTAAAAAAAAAAAAAAGAATGTTGACAGGATGAACAACTCGAAAATTCCCTTCACGGTTTTGTGTTCTCAATGTCTTACTTATCAAGTCAAAGTTGGCATGGAGCCCATCTATCTCTTCTTTATTCCCTCCTCATTTTTCATTTTTCTTAGCAGCTCCAGCAGTCCCCCTACCTGACAGAAAGGAGCACACTCTGCCACAATGACATGGAATTTCCTCTTTTGGGCAGCCTCTTTGAGGAAGGCTTCTACTGTCCGGGAGAAGCCAATGGTCATGATCACCTCATTGGAGTGGATGTGCTCCAGAGCCTGGGCCGCAATGTTCTCTGTAGTCCCTTCTGCAAGAACAGCCGGTTTGGCAAGGAAAATGTGAAACTGCCATATGCCACAACACGAGACAATCGTGACAGAACATGGAAAGAGACAGGTGCCCTTCACACAGACAGCCCACCTAGGAGACCTAGTGGTAACACAGGGTGAAGGGACTTAATGTGAAGGTCACCTTTTCTTAAAAGCCGCGCTCCTCTGGGATCTTCTACTTCCCAAGTTCTCAGCCTACCTTCTTTCCCAGCAGAACCCCTACTCATCCACTTACCCCCAACTCTGCCCCACACGATACCAGCTCCTTAGAATTCATTTTGAAGACAATGAATTCAGGCAAAAAAATGGTCCAATTTGAGAAACTGTAAGGTGCTGAGAGTGGAGTAAACAGTTTCCCCCTAAAAGAACTCTAAAAGGTGGCTGCAACACCCCCACCTGAAAAGGAGGCCACAGAAGAAAAACGGGAGGAATTTGGAAGCAGCAGCTACAGACACACAGACCCAGCTTCTTCCTCCCTTGGGGAACTCTGATTGTAATGAATACATGCAGGTCTCCTGGGTCACAAAGACAAGGGGAAAGGAGGTGGTGCATCTGTGTGTATAAAATTCAAGAGGAAATTTAGGGAAGAAGAGTCTACAATCTGTGGTTTTGGGGAGTTCATCTTTAACATGAAAATAAAGCTCTGTCCTAACAGTCTCTGCAGCAGTGGATCTGCAATCTATCAAGGGCTGGTCTGTAAGGACATGTAGAGAGGGCTATCTTAGTCCTGCCACCCGTTCCAACCCTTTCTCTTAATCAGGATGGAGCACAAAGCTCAGAGAACCACGAGACTGGTTATCTCCTATCTCTACTGATGAACAACTTCCAGGGTCTTCTTTTCCCTCATCTGCCTGTCCATCAGGGATCAGGACTCTTACCCAGTTCCACAAGAAGCTCATTAATTGCCTCAATGATGTTGGACTGGAGTTGGGCATAAGGGAAGCTGAAATCCTCGCTCAGGCCTTCGGATGTCAAGAGTTTGTGCAAGGACTCCTGCTGATCGCTCTCATCGCTACGCCCGTGGAGTCTAGGGAGGCAACAAGACGCAAACAGGGAGGGGGCGGAGGTGTAGTAATTTAAGTAAGAGGAGCTGCTCAGCTCCACTAAAGGCTTCAAGCAGGGAGAGGGGCTTGTGCAAAAAGGCCCACATCCTGACCTGCCATACTCCTCCCGGATGATCCTGAGCACTCTCCGCACCATGTTGCCCACTGTGGTCTCTGAGGGCTGCGCAGCCGTCATCCTCTGGCCCTCTCGGCGGATCAGTTCCATCAGTTTCTCTGCAGTCGAGGGAGAGAGAGAGGGCACGAGCGCGATGAGGCTGGGCGACTCTCCGCCTGAGGATCGGGGTCGGACAGTGGCTAGGGACGCGACAGAACCAGACCTGCCTTACCTGCGTTGCTCCAGCGGTGGTCCGTAATGATCCGGCGCAGCAGCCCCAGGGTCTCCCGAGCCATGTCCTCGGAGCTGCGCCGCCCGCCGTCCCGCTTCAGGGCCTCCACGAAACTCTCGATGCTCTCGTACAACTCCGAGCCCTTAGCCGCGGCTCCTGGCATCTCGAAAAAAGCCGCCTCGCCGGCGGAATCCCCACCTGTACGACCTCAGTCCTTGCACTTCCGGGGCGGGTGAAGTCGACTTCCGCTCCGAGAGGAAAACTCCAGTTTGAGGGTCCACAGGCCACGCCCCCTCGGTGCCACATCCCGCCTCCTCCATCTGCCTGAGCCAATCAGAGGCTAGGAGCTCGAGTTACTGAGTTACAGCAGAGCGACCACGAGTCTCGGAGGCGGGAGGACCGGAAGTGGCCTTTAGTGGCTCTTCAGGCGCTGCATAGAGGTGAGGAGTGAGGCCCCATGAGGGTGGCTTGTCTCGTTGCTGTGGAAACATCCAGTCTCGGCGTTCCCCTACCCCCCAAGACCCGGGGCTGCGCTGCACAAGTTGCCGCCCTGGTCCTGGTCCCCAAGCGAACACCCGCTCTCCTGACCGAGACGCTCAGATTGCGGGTCCAGGACCCGCTGCACTTTGGGCAGACGCGTCATAATGCTCTTTTACTGCATGGAACTGGTTCGTTTGCGCCTTTGTGTTTCTGATAGATTCAGCTCCCTGAGGGCGGGGACCAAACCTTTTTTGCCTTTGCATTCCCAACGCCTCACACACCTAATGTAAGACAGGAATCAGGGATGAGGAGACCGAATACTCCCCAGTAAGGAGATTCAAAGGGGGAGCTTACATGGGAGCGAAGATGATGTCCTTCTATTTGGACAGACTACAGAGGCTGGGAAGCATAACAATACCAAGAGCTACTATTGACTTAAAGTTCACTAGGTGTTGAGCACTGTGTGTGAATGATCTCATCTATTGCAATTTATGAGGTAGGTCCTCTTATCCTCATTTTACAGGTTAGAAAACAGCCACAAAATTTAAGCAGTTGGTAAGGGGATGCATTCGTATTTAAATTTCTGTCTGAATGCAGTCTGTGTGTAATGAGAATCCCTATTTCTTTAAGTTCTTAGAATCTTTGGACACACACATTTTAAAGACATTTGTTACTATTGACAAATTGCCCTCCAAAAAGATACATCAGTACCAAAATCAGACAAAGCTAGTACAAGAAAAGAAAGCTACAGACCAGTATCCCTCACGAACACAGAGGCAAAACCTGTAACAAATTAGCAAATCAAATCCAGCAATATATAAAAAAGATTAAGACATCATTACCAAATAGAATTCAAACCCAGAATGCAAAGCTCTTTTAATATTTAAAAATTAATCAATTTAACAAGCCATATTAACAATATAAAAAGTGAAACCACTTGATCATATCGATGCAAGAAGGATTGGACAAAATTCAACAGCCACTGAATTAAAAAAAACAAAACAAAACTCAGAGAACTAGGAATAGAAGGGAACTTCTTTAACTTAGTAAAAAGCATCTCCAAGAGCCTGCACTTAACATAATACTTTATGGTGAAAGACTGCCTTCTTTCTAAGATCAGGAACAAGACAAGGATGTCCATTCTCACCACTACTATTTAACACTATACTCAAAAGTCCTAGACAGTACAGTAAGAAAAGAAAAAGAAATTTTACAAACAGAGAGACTAGAAAGAGAGAAAACTCCCTATTCACAGAAGACATTGTCCACCCAGAAAATCTGAAGAATCAATAACAATGACAAAAAACCTCCTAGAACTAGTAAGTGAATATAGCAAGGATACAAGCTCAACACACAAAAATCAATCTTATTTCTATATACTAGCAATGAATAATTGGAAACCAAAATTGAAAACACCATACCTCCCAAAAGCTGTAATATATTTGTCAATTTTGTTTCTGTTAAGTTTAAATTGTCCTAGGGGCACCTGGGTGGCTCAGTTGGTTAAGCGACTGCCTTCGGCTCAGGTCATGATCCTGGAGTCCCGGGATCGGGTCCCGCATCGGGCTCCCTGCTCGGCGGGGAGTCTGCTTCTCCCTCTGACCCTCCCCCCCTCTCATGTGCTCTCTGTCTCTCTCGTTCTCTCTGTCTCAAATAAATAAATAAAATCTTTAAAAAAAAAAAAAAAGTTTAAATTGTCCTAAAAATTGTACCAATTTACATGCTTGCTGACACCATGTTCTGGCCAATTTTGGATATTGTTCTTTATTTTTCCAGGCATCAAGCCATTACAAAATAAGGTATGTACTATTTTATATATACAAAATAATACATGTTGTGTGTATATATAATATATATATACAAGTTATGAAACATGACAACAAAATGAGCATACATGAACCCATCTCTCAACTTAAAAACAAAGATTCTTAAATACATAAGACATAGGAAGTAGAATGGTGGTTTTCAGGGGCTGGAGGGAGGCATAAGTTGTTTAATGGGTACAGAATTTCGGTTTTACAAGATGAAAAGAGTTCTAGAGATGGATGGTGGATGATGGACATACATTAATGCCACGGAACTGCACACTTAAGGGTTAAAATGGCAAATTTTATGTTCTGTGTATTTTACCACAATTAAAAAAAAAATATGTGACATATACCAAAAAAAACCCTGAAATACTGCCAAAACCATCTCATTGATGGGTGTGTTTGTCTATTCCATTTCCTTGTCTTCTCGAATACCCAAGGATAACCACTAAATTTTGATTGATTTTGCTTTGTTTTATAAAAAAAATATTATATATTTATAATCCCTAAACAACATATTGCTTAGTTCTGCTTGGTTTTGAGGTTTTTTTTTACAAATGACATTATAATGTAATTTTGTACAATTTGCTTTATTCACTTGATATGACATTCCTAAAATTCATCTATGTTCTTACATGTATCTGTGGTTCTCTTGTTAGCACTGCTGCATAATATTTCATCATGTGACCATACCACAATTTATGTATTCATTTTTCTTCAACAGATATTTGGGTTGTTTCCAATCTTTTGGGGGGGGTGGGAGAATATAAACTATAAATATTCTTATGTGTATTTTGGCATACGTACAAGTGGAACAGCTAGGGTATAGTCTATATGAATAGTCAGCTTTACAAATAGTGCTCATCTTCCAAAGTGGTTAAATTAATTAATGCTCTCTCCAGTAGGACTTAAAGAGTTCCAACTGATCTACCTCATTACCAACACTTGGTATTATCAGTTATTTTATTTGGGGGAATCAGATAGATATAAAGGATGTATCATGATCTTAATTTGTTTCCTGATGAGGCTGTTAATTTTTTTGTATGTTTATTGGCCATGTGTTTTTCTCATTTGTGAAATACCTGTGTGTGTCTCTTGCCTACTTTCTTTTTTTTTTTTTAAAGATTTTATTTATTTATTTGAGAGAGAGAGAATGAGAGACAGAGAGCACGAGAGGGAAGAGGGTCAGAGGGAGAAGCAGACACCCCGCTGAGCAGGGAGCCCGATGCGGGACTCGATCCCGGGACTCCAGGATCATGACCTGAGCGAAGGCAGTCGCTTAACCAACCGAGCCACCCAGGTGCCCCTCTTGCCTACTTTCTTAAAAATCCTTTTTAAAATACACTTGTAGGAATTCCTTATATATTCTGAACACTAATCTTTTTCAGTTATTTGTTCTATAAATATCTTCTCTCAGTTCATGGCTTGTCATTTTATTCACTTTGAGATGTCAAAGACATCTTGTCTTTGTATAGTTAATGCTTTTCATGTTTTATTTAAAAGATCCTTCCCTAATATAAAGGCTTAAAGATAATCTATCTTTTTCTTCTAAATAATTAAAAAATTTAAATTTACAAGTAATTTTGAGTTACTTTCTGTGTAGGATGAAAGGTGAGAATCCAATTTTCTTTTCTTTTTCCATTCTCTTTCTATTGATTTTCTTTTTTCTTTTTTTAAAGATTTTATTTGAGAGAGAGAGTGAGTGAGAGAGAGCACAAGCTGGGGGAGGGGCCGAGGGAGAGGGAGGAGCAGACTCCCCGCTGAGCAGGGAGCCCCATGTGGGACTCCATCCCAGGATCCTGGGATCATGACCTGAGCTGAAGGCAGATGCTTAACTGACTGAGGCACCCTCCATTGATTTTTAATGCTAGCACTGTAATATGTCACGTGTCTATAATGTGTGAGTCTGTTTGGGGACTATTTTGTTCCATCACTAAATTTGCCTATCCCTTACCCAATATCACATTATCTGTTTTACTCTTGTCTTATTTTATAAAAAGTCTTGCTATCTGGTAAGAAAAATTCCCTTGCCATATTTCTTTCTTTAAGAGGGTCTTAACTAGTTTGGGGCCTTTGCTCTTTCATATATATTTTAGAAATAATTTGTCTATTCCTAAAAACAAAACAAACAAAACAAAACAAAAACAAAAAAACCCTACAGATTTTCCTTGGAATTACTTTAAATCTCTAAATTAATTTGAGGAGAATTGACATCTTTAGGATACTGAGTCTTCCTATCCATGGCCATGGTATATATCTCCATTTATTTAGGTCTTCTTTAAGGTTGTTTGGTAAAATTTTATAATTTTCTCCCTATAGGTCTTACACATCTTGTGTGAGATTTATTCCTAGGCACCTTGTATATTTATTGCTGTTATAGATGATTATCATTCTTTTTCATCATTGCCAAATTGATAGAGAAAATACAAAAACTCCTTTTAATTCGCATTTCTTTGTTCATTAATCAAGGTGAACATTTTTTCATGTTTATTTGCCTTTGCATTTCTTCTCTTATGAATTGCTGGTGCACGTGCATTGCCCATTTTTTTCTAATATGATACATGACAGATATTCTGGTTGTCCACCCAATATCCATTTCTTTCTTCTTCCCTGTTAAAAGAACTGATTTTGTTTGGTTTCTACCCACAGGGGAAGTGGGTTTTAGCTTATGGGTAAATCCTCACTGGTCTAAGCCAATCATGGCAATTCCATTCTCCTTTAAAAAAATTTTTTTTAACAGATTGGTGTTGGATAACCCATTTTCTAGCCAGCAGGATATGAGGGAGATCTGTTTGGAAAAGTTTCTTTGTTCTTAAGTAACAGAGAAGACTACTTTGTTTCTTCTATCTCTGATTGTCTGAGATATGATGCCTGGAATTACTGCAGCTATCTTGTGACCATGAGGTCTCAAGACTGAGGATAAAGTTAACATGCCAAGGATGGCAGAACAGAAAAACAGAAAGGATCTAGGCTCTTGATGATATCGACACTTAATGGGTATTTTACATATATAAACTCTCCTCATTCATACAGCAATCCTATGAAATAGATACTACTGATATAACCGTTTTCAAAATAGGAACCTGAGGCATAAATAGGTCAAGTAATTTGCTTAATGATACACACCTAGTAAGTGGAAGAGTTGAGATGTTAATCTAACAGTGTAGCTTCAGTGCCTGCACTGTTAGTCTGGGTACTGTGGTGCCTTTTATTAAAGCTGTGTGAAATCAACAAATCCAGAAGTTGCCCTACTTTTAGACTTCTTATTATATAAAGTGATACATTTCTCTATTGATAAAATTTTGAATTTTGAGTTTTCTATCACTTGCAGTCCAAAGCATCCTGATATCAGGTATTTAATCTTCTTCTGGTTGATATGTAAGGTCTATTTATATATTAAAGATACTGATCATTTGCAATTTGTGTTGCAATAGTAGTTTTACAAACTTTGCCCAATTCTCATATATTGCTGTGGGATTTTAAATTGAAACACCTTTCAGTAGGACAATTTGAAAAAAACGTAGCAAGAGACTTTAAAATGTTCATTCATACTCTTTAAGCCAGTATGTCTAAATGTAGAAATTTATCCTAAGGAAATAATCAGAAATAGGCACAAAGATTTATCCAAAATCACATTTTTCACTTTATTATTTATAATATAAAAATCAGAAATATTCCTAAGTATTCAAAATTAGGAAATTGGTTTGGAAATTATGTACTGCCATCCATGTTTTAGAAGAATATTTAATGGCATAGGAAATAATGATAAGAATTGTTGACAACATATTGTTAAGTTTAAAAAGTAGGTTGCATGCAGTCACTCTGGAAAACAGTTTGGCAGTTCCTTTAAAAACTGAAAATGGATTTATAATACAATCCAGCAATTGCACTCCTGGTCATTCATCCTAGAGAAATGAGCACTTGTGTCCAAACCACATGAATGTTCACAGCGGCTTTATTCATAATAGCCAAAAACTGGAAACTTCCCAAATATCCTTCAGTTGGTTGATATTTAAACAAACTGTGGCACATCTGTAGCATGGGATATGTCTCAGCAATAAAAAGGACCAAACTGTTGATATCTGCAACAACTTAAATAAACCTCAAGGAACTTACGCTGAATGAGAAAAGCCAATCTCAAACTATATTTTCTGCATAATTCCAATAATGTATCATTCATGGAGTAACATATAAAGAGAGATAAAGAATGGATTAGTAATTGCCAGGGGTTAGGGATGGGTGGGGGGCATGAGATGGGTGTAGTTATGAAGGAGTGACACAAAGGATAGTGCAGTTGAGTCTCTGGATGTTGTGGGGATGGTTATGCAAGGCTACACATGATAACATTTCATAGAGCTACACACACGAGTGCATGTGTAACTGATGAAATCTAAAACTATGGATTATATCAATGTCAATATTTTGGCTTTGATACAGTACCATAGTTGTATAAGTTGTTACCATTAGAGGAGGCAGGGGGAAGGGCACGTGGGACTTGGGTATACATTCCTTTCAACCTCCTGTGAATCTACAATTATTTTGAAATAAATAGTTGAACAAAAACTTCATAAACCAAGATTTATATAATAAAAGCATCTATTTAAAAGAAAATTATAGGAACGCCTGGCTGGCTCAGTTGGTGGAGCGTGCGACTCATGATCTCGGGGTTGTGAGTTTGAGCCCTATGTTGGGTGTAGAGATTGCTTACAAATAAAATCTTTAAAAGAAAATTATAATGGATTACATTACATTACTCTAATTGTTAAATGACTCAGTGCTAAAATAGATAATAAAGGAGACTGTTTAAAGTGCAATTTTTCAAAAAAGCAAGATGCAAAAATAGTATATTTGGTACCATCTCAATTTCACTTAAAAATATTTATACATTGGGGCGCCTGGGTGGCTCAGTCATTAAGCGTCTGCCTTCGGCTCAGGTCATGATCCCAGGGTCCTGGGATCGAGCCCCGTGTCGGGCTCCCTGCTCCGTGGGAAGCCTGCTTCTCCCTCTCCCACTCCCCCTGCTTGTGTTCCCTCTCTTGCTGTGTCTCTCTCTCTCTCTGTGTCAAATAAATAAATAGATCTTTAAAAAATATATATTTATACATACTCATGTATTATATATAAATATATATTCACACACATACACACCCACACACACATATATAAGTCTATACACACGTATACACATCATATATTTGTGGGTATATATATATATATATGGGTGTGTGTGTGGATATCTGTGTATAAATGGCATACCAAGATGTTAACAGTGGCTCTCCCTGGATAGTATGATTACGGGTTTATCAGAGACCCCTAATTGCCTCATAAGCCGTTCTTCTATAGTGATAGAGTTTTGGCTTGGCAAATAGGCACCCAAAATAAAGACTACATTTCTTGGTCTCCCCAGCAGGTGGGTGTGGCCACGTGACTACGTTCTTACTATTGGGATGGTGTGGAAGTGTTGTGTTGCTGCTTCTGAGAAACTTCCCTGGAAGATAACTGGCATGTGTCCTTTGGCCTCTTTATCCCTTTCTCTTTCTGGCTGCCTTTCTGCTCTGCAGCCTGGATGATGAGGATTCAGGCCACACTGCAGGGATGGCAGAGTAGTGAGCTAGAAGGAGCCTGGGCACCCTAAGGCCTCTGTGGAGCAAAACTATCATACCAGCCTGGACTTTTCAACTTCATGTAGCTGCAAGCAAAATAAACTTCAGTCTTATTTGAGCCACTGTTATCTTGAGGTTTCCATCATTTGCAGTCACACTCAATCCTAACAAATACAAGAGTGATTTATATGTTCATTTGTGTTCTGTATTTCCCAAAATTTTAACAATAAACACATCCCATTTATAATCAGAAAAAAGTTATTTGTAAGAAAAATAAGTCCTTCCATCAGGCCCGTTCTCTCAACCAGGAATAGGATTATGTTGACCAGATCTTCCAGATTTTCCCAGTGTCCCAATTTCAGACATTCTGGCTAATTGCCTGCAAAGTTACCAGATCACAGTTTCTGAACTTAATTTGGAGATAGGGTGGTTACAATGATAATTCTCAACTGTAAGGAGGGAGGCTGACCAAAATATTTGCGTCTTTCTCCTTCTGTTCCCAAGAATCTCTTTTATGCCATCAGATCACTTCCTTTTCCTGAAGGGCTTTGACTCAACACTGTGGCATGTGAATACCCTACTGTTTTTATCCTTCTCTGATTGTTTTGGTGGATAAGTCATGTCTCTACGCAACCTGAGAACAAGTGCTATTGTCATGGACACCTGTTGTTTTTGTCTGCCCTGCACCCCCTTTCCTCTGGGAACTGTCCCTCCTTATGTCATTCAGGTGGAACTGTCAATCTCAGAGCCTCCTAACCACAGGGATGACACACCATCCAGGTCTGGGCAGTCACCCCAATTCCACACTGTTTGTATAAAATCATTCAGTCCTTCCCTGTGATTTGCTATACGGACCCCAGAAGAAAGCAGGTTGCTTGCCTTTAGATCATCTGCTATAAGGAGGTCGGCTTGGGAGTCTTGGTGGCTGGCTTTCCTGTTTCATGGAGGAAGCTTATCTTTAGGAGAGAGTCAGGCAACTGCTCCAAAAGAAGTAGAAGTGAACAGAGGCAGGTCTTGGAGTGAGAGAGAAAGGGCAAATGAGGGGATGACTTGAAATGAACTGATGTAGGCTTATAAAACTAGCCAGGCTTGAAGGTAGAGCCATCCTTGGACTTCTCAACAAATCCCCCCTTCAGCTTAGCTTTTTGAGTTACTAGAGGCTTGACTAAGCTTTTCTTTTGTTCTTCAGGGAAGCCAACCCTCTTCTCAGCCATTATTTGATTGATTCTGCTAGACTAGAAGCTGATCTTGGTCTAAATATAGATTTATATTTTAGTGATATCTGGCTGTGTTTTGAATTCCCTGCCACATGACCTTGTCAGTTGCTAGGAATTTGGAGGGAAATTCTAATGGCAGACACAGGTAATGGTACCAGGGCATGTGATTAGGAAAACAAACAAACAAACACCCTGTTGTTATTAGGACTGCCTGGTAACAGTTGGTCTTCATAGATCAACATATACAGTATATAACAAATATTTGTTGGGCATCTTTTCATACCAAGCACCATATTGCATATTGGAAAAGAGCCCCTGTACTAGGGGAAACTCAATAATAAAACAGCATCATCCTTTAAACTTAGAGGATTCTGCCTTTTAGTTAAAGATTTTCATATTCCTTAACTCTTTTGGTCTCTAAAGAGCCCTAAGCAGTGAGCTGATTCTGATCAAGAGATCAGTTATACCACAATTGATAGGTTCATTGTAAATGAGAATAGTACCAAGTACATAGGTAGACAAAACAAATAGTCTGTGATTCTGAAAAAAGAAAAATGTAGAGACTAAGGCCACTAGCCAGTTATCCTCTCATGCTATGTTATACTGTTTAAAGTTTGGGCTTGGAAGTCAGATGAATCTCATTTCAGATCATAGGTCTGCCCCTCCCAAGCTGGGTGATCTTGTCTGTCAGTGGAAATGATAGTAACAGTGACATTTGATAAATGGTAGTGACCTCAGAGATTTAGAGACATTGTACTACTACTGATCTTTATTTTTTTCAAGAGTTTATTTATTTATTTGTCAGAGAGAGAGAGAGAGAGCACAAGTAGGGGGAATAGCAGGCAGAGAGAAAAAGCAGGCTCCCCGCTGATCAGGGAGCCCGATGCAGGGCTTGATCCCAGGACCCTGGGATCATAACCTGAGCTGAAGGTAGACACTTAACCGACTGAGCCACCCAGGTGTCCCTACAACTAGTGATCTTTAAAGTAGTAGGTCTGGGTACCCATTACCTAATCTGGAGAATTAAAAAAAAAAAATCTCCACAAAAGTATATTCTAATATACTTAATAAAGGTCTGGTTATATTTTAAAAAAATTTTTTATTTAATTTTAATTTAGTTAATATTAAGTGTATTATTAGTTTCAGGGGTAGAATTTAGTGATTCATCAGTTGCATATAACACTCAGTGCTCATTACATCAAGTGCCCTCCTTAATGCCCATCACCCAATTACCCCATCTCCCCACCTCCCCTCCAGCAACCCTCAGTTTGTTTCCTAGAGTTAAGAGTCTCTTATGGTTTGCCTCCCTCTCTGTTTACATCTTATTTTATTTTTCCTTTCCTTCCCCTGTGTTTATGTTTTGTTTCTTAAATTCCACATATGAGTGAGAAAGCATATGGTATTTACCTTTCTTTGACTGACTTATTTCACTTAGCATAATACTCTCTAGTTCCATCCATGTTGCAAATGGAAAGATTTCATTCTTTTTGATGGCTGAGTAATATTCCATTGTGTGTGTGTGTGTGTGTGTGTGTGTGTGTGTGTGTACACACACACACCACATCTTTATCCATTCATCTGTCAATGAACATCTGGGCTTTTTCCATAGTTTGGCTATTGTGGACATTGCTGCTATAACATTTGGGTGCAGGTGCCCCTTCAAATCAGCATTTTTGTATCCTTTGGATAAATACCTAGTAATGCAATTGCTGGGTCATAGAGTCATTTTATTTTTAGCTTTTTGAGGATCCTCCATACTGTTTTCCAGAGTGGCTGCACCAGTTTGGGAAGTTTGCATTCCCACCAACAATGTAAGAGGGTTCCCCTTTCTCTGCATTCTCACCAACATCTGTTGTTTCCTGCATTGTTAATTTTAGCCATTCTCACCAGTGTGAGGTGGTATCTCATTGTGGTTTTGATTTTGTATTTCGGTCTGGTTGTATATTAAAGACCAGATAATCCAGATAAAAATAACACCAGCTTTTATTTCTAGAACTCCTCTCTTTCAAGAATGAATGAGTTATTGCAACTACCTGAGAGCATTTTAGAACAGCAACAGACCTTGCATGAGGCTATATCCCAGTCAGGAAGCCCGGGCCCTCCACCCGAGTAGCTTCCTGCCACCCTTGGTACATAGTGACACTCACTGACTAACCTGCAGACAGAGGCTGCTGGTAGCTTTCAGAGGCCAGAGGCTTACCCTCTCCCGTCTGGCTCCCCTCCTTCCCTGAAGTAGTTTCTATCCCTGGTTTGATGTCTGTGGCCAGCAACATCTTTAAAAACAGACAGTCATTGTCTAGCTTCAGAGGGTAGTTTGATTAACTAGTTCCTAACCAGAGTGGAAAAAGAAAAGGTGGGGGGACTTCTTAAGTGTGCTGTCTACATTGTGCAGAATGCCATGGGTCGGAAGAACTAAGTTGACCATTGAGATCAGAAAGTTCTTTCCAGTCTCAGCTAATCTCATTTCTTGGGGCTTGTGTATTAAGAATTACAGTGTCTTCCCCTTATTAAGCATCCACATGTGCCAGAGACTATATATACTTCATCTAAACCTTCTGAGACTCTACAGTGGAGGAAGCCAAGGCTTGCAGGGGTGAAGGGACATGCCCAGTCATATCGCTAGTGGGGCAGAGCCTAGGTTCTAGCCCGGGTTTGTCTGTCTCCAGAGACCTCCCAGTGCCTCCTGATGCCACACTGTCTACACCCTTTCTGTTAAAGTGGCAGGAGTGGCCTTCAGGGGTCAAACAGGGGCCAGGCTTCCAACAGGCTTTGAGGCCTTTGGGTTCTTAGGGATAGAAGCTCTGTGTCCCTACTCTGTCACATGAGTAAGGAGCCAGTGGATGAGACTGGAGTGGGTGCTGAGAGCGCTGAGTAGCAGGCCTCTGAGAGCTGTACCCCAGCCTTGCTGGGATGCCCAGCACACACCTGCGGGTGCTGGGGGCTAGACAGGGAAGAGCCCTGCTGGGTGCTGGATCTGCCTGCCAGCCCCTGTGCCCTGAAGGGAAGACTGCATGGAAAACTCCCAGGGTTTACAGGCCCTAGCCTGGGGTGGATGGCTCTGTAGAGCCCGGTGGCCAGTTGCACCCCGTGGGAAAGCCTTGGCCCTGGCCTGCCTGGGAGCCACGGTGGTGCCGCCTCCTGCCCACGGCTTGGCTCAGCTTGGTTCAGCGGGTTCCCAAGTGGCTTGACTTCCTCCCCTATACCTCCCCCCACCCTGCAGTCTCCAGGGAGCCAGGGAGGCCACTGTCAGAGTTGGCTGTCAGTCTCCCAGTCCCCAGGCCTCCCCAAGCCCCTTCCCCACACACCTGGGAGCCAGGTTTCCCCAGAGAGCAGGAGGGGACCCTCCAACCTCCTGGGAGTACCCCTGCCCCTAGGTCTGTTTAGAACTGGCAGGCCCCATCCCCACTCCTTCCGCTGCATGCTGAGGCTCCACTCAGGGCTGCAATAACAGGGCTTGGGGTATGGGCTGTTGTTTTTGCAGCTGGGCTGGGGCGGAGCGGCAGCGGGAAGGCGGCATGGGTACTGACCGTCTGAGAAAGCCCCGAGCCCGCATTCCCACTAGAGCTGGGACAGCCCCTTCAGGCTAGTGACTGCTGTGCCTGTGGAGAGGCCCCTAGGCATGGCTGGAGTGTCGGGGGAAGGCAGAGAGAGAGGGGGGCCAGCCAGGAGGAGGACAAGAGCTTGGGGGGACCCCAAGCCTTCTCTGAGCCAGCCCTCCCCAGCAGGCTGTGCTTCCCCCTTCATTTCCAGCTGCAGCTGCACCGAACCTCTCCCCCACCCCACCCCCGCACATCTGGGAGATGCTGAAGCAAGCTTCCTTAAAACAAACAACAAACAAAACAAAATATCTCATTTACTAGGGGCAAATGTT